GCCCTCCAATCACTCCAGACCAGGTGCCAGTATCATGACCAACTCGGGCATTGAAGTCACCCAACATGATGACTCTATCCCGAGGGGCCACTTTAGCCAGCACCTGTGACAGGAGGTCATAGAAGGCATCTGACTCATCGGCTTTGCCTGCATCCCTCCACGAATGTTCATCTTTGGTGGGGGCATAAGTAACCACGACTACCATTCCTCGACAGAGTTGCCCGTCCGGCACCGCGAGGAGGTAGGGGGTTGTTTTGCCGGACAAACACATACACACACGTACACACAAACACACACACGTCAGCAGCAGCAGCTTGGGACCGAGGTTACAGCAGCAACCCGTGGTCTGCTAATGTTTATACGACCGGTCAATAGATGGCAGCCTGTCTGGCTGAATGCGGAAAAACTGTTGTTTCTTAAATACAACATTCGTTTGTTTGGATTTAATTACTAAGTAACACCTAAAGATTTGATATTTAGCGACCCTTACTGCAGGCTCTGAATAATTAGTTCTAGATTTCTTTTTAATTAAAGTAGCATTGCATCATGACATATTTCATAAATCTTGTGTTCGGTAACTTCGGTTACATACCTTTCTGTTTTGGTCTCGGTCGAAAGTGAAGTTAAACTTTCGGTTTCGGCCGACAGTCAATTTTTAACTTTCGGTCTGGTTTCGATTTCGGCCGAAACCAGAAATTAATTTTCGGGTCGGCCACTATTTACCACTGCTGTTGTACTGTATATGTGTATGTTGAACTTCTTTAGCACCGCACGTCACCCAATCGTGCTAATTAGAGGTGCGGGAGAAGGACGACACACTCAACACAAAAAGCAGTTCTAAAGAAATGAGTTTGTCAATCTAGATTTAAAAGTGCATTGCTCGAGTTGCTTCCTAATATCAGAAGGAAGAGCGTTCCAGACGGCCGCAGAAGCGCATCTAGGTGCTCACGGGTGCCGCTTTGCTTCAGCAACCCACGCGTGCATTCATCATCCTGGATGGATATCGTCCTCAAGACGGAACCAGAAGAGCTTCCCTTGGCTACCTCAGGCAATGGGGGCCCTGGAGCATGACACCAAGCTCTTTCCGCTTGGGCCATGGCAATTACAACCGAACAGGTCCCTGCAGGGTGGGCTGGTAGGAACATTGGAATTTTTACACCCAACAGCACGAGATTTCACTTCGTGAAAGTATTGAAAGGGGACGGACGGACGGACACATTAATCTATTGCAGGCTGGTACACTCAGTTTACAACTTCGTTCCTACCAGTATAATTATACAATACAGGATGATGGCACGTCTTAATCACCTCCACGGAGAGGTTTCGTCACGTGTCAGTCATGCAAACTTATTTAGGTACCCTAAACATCAATTTAAAAAAATTGACTAGCAGACAATGTCCCCTTCATATACCTGTCTCTCCACGTAAACATTTAAAGTAAAAAAAATTTGCACAACCCATTAGCCCCACGGCCCTCTGGGAGTACACATCAGTGTCACCGATTCCAAACTTTGGACCGGTTTTGACATAAAGTGTTTTTTTACCAGCAACGTCAGGCTTGCTGATGAATATGCCAGATGTTTATAGGAAGGTACGCTTCTCATTATATTGGTCATATGTAGTTCTACGCAAATTTGTATAGCACACAACACAGAATAAACATTCGTGTCGCCGTGGAGAGGATAAGTAATAAAACAGTTTAGCAGATGTGTCTCCTTCATATATATCTCTGTCTGTCCACGCAACATATACCTACAGCATGTTCTTACTTATACTCTCCATGTCACCCCTGGTGATGATTTTGGCTAGGCCTCGGAGAGTTAAACGGTAGGGGCTGCCAATGTTGAGACCCTTTGTGCCCGCGTACCGATTTCCCGTACGTACGTACAACAAATTGTTTTTCTCCTTATGTACGTTGAACTTCTTTCGCGCAGTATGCAGCCAACCGTGCTCATCCGAAGTAAGGGAGGCGAGGGGAAACAACAAAATGACATTTTAAGCGCCATGATTAGCTCCGAAAGTGAATTTGCGGATTAAAAGGGTGTAAATATCGGCAGCATACCACATAGATCAGTAGGGTTGGCCAAGTATGACGTTTCTGTTCTGATCTCACGTACGGCAGAGTGTTGTTAGCATGTAACCCAAACTATTGACCCAACGGGTTAACCCGCTGCAGTCTGCAACTGTTGAGAAACATTCAAAACGCCACGAACTCTTTAACTCCCGGAGCCCTCTCGTTGTGTCCAGCAGAACTTCCGACATTGCCCGGCCAATTTAGCTCCGGGACATAATTGCTGGCACCATGTGCGAGCAAAGTGGAGTGGGGTACGCAAGCACAAGTAACAGAAACACACTCACCACGTTCATTAACACCGCCTTAAAAGGAAACACAAATATGATACTGTATACACAAATATATACAAATTATACTAAGACGTTATGGCCAATGGCCCGTGTTTCATAGCGTATCACCAATGTGTTGAGTTTCATTTTATGACAGGTGACTAAAGTTTGATTTTGAAATCAGGTTATCGGTGCGGTACAACGTCGCATATCGGACTTGAACATGTGACAAGGTCGGATATGCGAACATCTATCGACAATGACAAGTTACCACTGTGCACAAACAATGGACTGGGTCTGGACGGTTAAATTCGCCAAGGCGGATATGCGTCAGTCACATATGCTTCGGTTCTTTCGGTAAAGTCACGTAGGTAAAAAAAATAAAAATTAAATCACGACGTTTCGGACGCAACGCAAGCGTCCGTCATCAGGTGGGAACAACCGCAGGTTGTGCTTTCTTGTCCCGTTGTCTGTTAAAAGCTCTTAACAGATGTTTATTTATATTTATTTTTTACCTACCTGACTTTTACCGAAAGAACCAAAGAGTATGGATCCTTGCAGTCAAGAAAACTTCAAATCCAGAGAGCCACATATGCTACGCTCCACTGTTTTTCCAGCCGGGTGCCTGAGCCACAGCATTCGGCAGTGGCGTCTGTGTCTAGTTCGTTGTCCTTACTACGTGCGAAAGAAAGAAGTTCAAAATACATACATACACACTACATTATACACTACTATATACTACACACACTACTGCATACACTGCACTTACACTACACTATACACTACACCACTTTACTAAACTAAACACTCTTCTCTTAAGAACTACTTTTTTGAGTTTAGTTTGTAGTCCTTCCCCCCGCATCTCCGATTAGCAGCACGGCTACGTAAGGTACGAAAGAAGTTCAACATACATACACACTACACTATACATTATTATACAACACACTATGCACTGCCATACACTACGCTATCATGTCACTACTATGCACTACGACTATACACTACAGCATACACTACACAACTAGACACGACACCGCTGTACACAATTTAAAACTCACATCTGTATAACTGTTTTTTGTGTTTAGTTTGTTGTCGTTTCCCTGCCCCTCCGCACTTGGCTATATACAGGTGCGAAAGAAGTTCAACGTCCAGACATACAGACAGACAGACATACAGACAGAGTACAGACAGACATACAGACAGACATACAGACAGACATACAGAGTACAGACAGACATACAGACATACAGACAGAGTACAGACAGACATACAGACAGAGTACAGACAGACATACAGAGTACAGACAGACAGACATACAGACAGAAAGACAGACATAGACAGACATACAGAGTACAGACAGACAGACATACATACAGAGTACAGACATACAGACAGACAGACATACAGACATAGAGAGACAGACATACAGAGTACAGACAGACAGACAGAGTACAGACAGACAGATATACAGACAGACAGACAGAGTACAGACAGACAGAGTACAGACAGACATACAGAGTACAGACATACAGAGTACAGACAGACATACAGAGTACATACACAGACAGACATACAGAGTACAGACAGACATACAGACAGACATACAGACAGACATGCAGAGTACAGACAGACGTACACAGACATACAGACAGTCATACAGAGTACAGACAGACATACAGACAGACATACATACAGAGTACAGACAGACAAACAGACAGACATACACAGTACAGACAGATATACAGACAGACATACAGACAGACAGACAGACATACAGACAGACATACAGAGTACAGACAGACATACAGACGGACATACAGACAGACATACAGAGTACAGACATACATACAGAGTATATACAGACAGACATACAGACAGAGTACAGACAGACATACAGACAGACAGACATACAGAGTACAGATAGACAGACATACAGACAGACATACAGAGTACAGACAGACATACAGAGTACAAACAGACAGAGTACAGCCAGACATACAGACAGACATACAGAGTACAGACAGACAGACATACAGAGTACAGACAGACAGACATACAGACAGACATACAGACAGACATACAGAGTGCAGACAGACATACAGAGTACAGACACATACAGACAGACATACAGAGTACAGACAAACATACAGACAGACATACAGAGTACAGACAGACATACACAGACATACAGACAGAGTACAGACAGACATACAGAGTACAGACAGACAAACAGACAGACATACATACAGACATACAGAATACAGACAGACATACAGACAGACATACAGAGACATACAGAGTACAGACAGACATACAGACAGACATACATACAGAGTACAGACAGACATACAGACAGACATACAGAGTACAGACAGACATACAGACAGACATACAGAGTACAGACAGACAGACAGACAGACATACAGACAGACAGACATACAGACAGACATACAGAGTACAGACAGACATACACAGACATACAGACAGACATACAGAGTACAAACAGACATACAGACAGACATACAGACAGACATACAGACAGACATTCAGAGAGACATACAGAGTACAGACAAACATACAGAGTACTAACAGACATTCAAACAGACATACAGACAGACATACGGAGTACAGACAGACAGACATACAGAGACACGAACCTTCAAGACGGTGCCCAGGCTGAAGAGCAGCAGACCTGACACCACGGAGATCCAGTTGAGGATCCAGAGGATCTGAGCCAGCTTTACACGCTTCTCCTTGGTGAACCGAACACGCAGAACTGCCATCTCGAGATCTTGGCCGGTGGTGGGATGGGTGGAATTGGTGGAATTGGTGGGTCCGGCCCGGCCACAGATCCCCCCTGCCACTGAACCTCCACCCGATGGTTGGGGTAAACGGGCTGTCAACACCTGCAGCCCATGGCGGACCAGTGGGTTGGTGCTGGCTGGATCGACGAATGGCTTAGGAGAGAAATGATGTTGCAGTGGTCAAACTGGCCCGCTCCTTTTAGCTTTTCTGGCTCTCAATTTCTGCCGTGACATGGGGGGGGGGGGGGGGGGGGTGGAGAGCCCCAACGCTTGACTGTCACCTACAGCTAGCGAGCTTAGCTTAGCTGTGATGGAGTCGCACCTGGTACCGGCGGCAGCGGTCGTTCACAGAGCATGCTCGAAGTCACCGACAAGCTGGAACGACTAAGGGCAACAAGGAAAACGTCGGGGAGGGAGAGGCTTTGTCTCGGCCAGTCCTCGACACAGCTCACACCTGAAAGAGCTGTCGCTGGCTCGGCGGCGTGGCGATTCCCAACCAGAGGAGGGGGGTGGAATAAACCTGGCACGGCGAGTTCACCGAGAAAAGCACGCGAGCAACTTGGCCCGGTCCACACTTGAGAACCGCCTGCCAGTAACACAACGACCACCGACGGACTGACAGAGAGCCAAGTCACAAATTGGCTGAATGTACCGTCACAAAGAGGGACAGACGCCCAAATTGCCCCTAGGGCTGTGTTGCCAATTTCACGTTTTCGTGGTTTACATAACACGGCAGCCATAATCTATTTACATTCTACTTATTGACAGCATCTAGTACAGCACATTTATTCTCAATTTTTTTTACCTTTTCGATAAGGAAATGTTAAATATTCTTCAGATATCAGCCTTTGTTATGAAGACTGTACTGTTATTGCTGCAGTAAATCGATGCTTATTAATAATATTTGCAGCAACGTTGTTTAATGATTAAAGATTACTTCAGCACCCACAGCTGTGCGCGGAGTTTTGTACTCACCTATATGGATGATTCGATGATAAATACATGATCCCTTGTACAAGAACGCCCTCTTTCAGAGAGGCCTACATAAACCCTATCCGTATTTCTCTCAACTCGGTTTGTTTTCCCGTTTCATTACCTTGAAGTGACTATCACGTACACGTTCGTAACATTTAAAATAGTGATAAATCCATTAGAAGTCGAGCGAAGACTGGTTTTCGCCTTATAAGCTACTTCAAATGTTCATTCATTTCCATGCACTTGTAAATCGTGACTAACACTTGAGGTTTTGCGAATATCGAAAATATACACGTACATAGAAATTGTCACAAATTTTTAAATAAAGCAAACAGCCGTAAGAAATAAAAACCCCATTAAACACAACTCGACCTGTCACACATCTTAGGAACACATTTCTTTAAAGAATATTCGAATGTAACCAGAAAGGCAGGGGCGGCAGGAAGCCGTGTGGATGTACACAGAGGGCAATTTGTCTAATGGGACCTCAAGTGACAGCAGGGACAGCAGCAGCAGCAGTCCAGACTCTAAGCCTCTTTGTGCCCTCATGAATATAGCTGCGTGTGATTAATCCTGAACGCTTACTGCGGCCAGGGATTACTCAGAAGGCCACGTGTACATCAGCGCCTCCCGTATTGCTACTCCAATGCCCAACTTCGTGACCGTTTCTTCAAGGAGGGCTTCTGCCAAAGTAACGCGGGGTGTTCGCAGCGGAGGCCGATGATTGCTCCGCATATATGCACCGTGTGTTGAATTTCTTTCGCACCGTACGTAGCCAACCGCGCTAATCGGAGGTGCGCGGGAAGGACAACAAGATAACACACAAAAAGCAGTTATAAAGAAATTGGTTTTTAATCTAGAAATGTATAAATTTTTTGGAGTATTGTTTTTCCTAAACTAATTTGGACCCAGATGCCAGCACACAGTGACCTATTGAGAATGACGTCACGGGATCTTGAGCGGCCACTGTGAAGCGGACGACGCATATATTTTACTTTTACGACTAATAACGCCACAGCAATAACCAGGGCGGATGCTGCAATTCGAGCCGCAGCAGCCTTACAACACGCGCATTATGCACCGCGACTTAAACTAAAGGTCAAGATGGGATAATGAAATGTTAATCAGAATCAGGTTTTTTTTATTTCTACTGGAGGAATCCGATGAGCTATAAAGCTCTTTTTCACAGAGGTCCGGGTGGGGCGGGTAAAAACCAGGGGAGGAGCCAGGATTTTCAGCCCGGGGTGACATTCAACAAATGTTAATTTCAAGAATGATTAGAGAGTCAGGCTGTTGAACTAGACGCCATCGGTTGGCGACACGCTTTGACAATGCAGTTTTTCGATTTTTTTCTCGGGGGTGACAATTGTATACCCTGTCACCCCCCTGGCTCCGCCCCTGGTAAGAACGTTACAACAACAAACAGTACAAAAACACGATAGCTGTGCAAAGTACAAGAAAGGTAAATAAGTCACCCAAGAACACACACAAATACAACTAAACCATCCCCATCCCATCAGGAAAAGCCCACTGAGGTTTTCACTTATTTTTCAGAAGCAACCTGGCCACAAATGATAACTCAACAAAGTGGCTTATCATGTGGACATCTATAGCAGCAAAATAATGTAAATAACCTTTATGCATATTTCTAAATGTGGAGGGAAAACCCGGAAAAGCCCAAGCACGTGGTGAAAAGAAATTACTTTTAAACTAAAGTCGAAGCTTTCGTGACTGCAGGAATTACTGTTTGATTTTTTTTGGTAAAGGCACGTAGAAAATAAAATCAAATAATAATAGAATACGACGTTTCGGTTGCAACACAAGCAACCATCATCAGGTAAGAATGAATGATAAAACACAGACACGGGAACAGCATAGGCAGACACACATAGAGAGAAAGGCACACACACACACACAAAGACACACCGAGCGAGACACACACCAAGACAAACAGAAAGACAACGAATCTGTGCCGAGGCCTTAAATAGAGAGAGAGATATTGGGCCGGAGCAGAGAGAGAGGACTGGGGAGACCGGACCAGCTGACAAACGAGGCGAGTTTCTCGCTCTACCACTGAGTCACCAGGTGAATGACAGATGCAAAACCCATCAAGCACAAAATCCCGATATGTCCACATACATAGCAGCTAAATCAAGTGACTTATTAGAAACGTAAGGTTACCTTCGTGATACTGAACTAAACTATTACTAAATAGATTTTTTTTACCAGGTAAGGCCCACTGCGCTATCAAGCTCTTTTTCAGAAGCGACCTGGCCACAAATGATAGCTCAACGAAGTGGCTTATCACGTGGACATTTATATCGCAGCCAAATACTCTGGTCGCATGTTTCTAAATGTGTAGGGAAAACCCGAGGACCCAGAGAAAAATCCAAGCGACCCCGGGGAGAACATGCAAACTCCAAATATACAATCCACGACCTCCTGCATACCAGGAAAGGTACTTAACATCTTGCCACAGATGCTATCGATCACCTGAATGTCCCTGGGACATGAGAGCAGTCACTTATCAGGAGGGAACTCTACCAGGACTCAGCCAAGAGACCCCCGTGTCCATCTCCATCCCAAACGGGAGATCCAGAAACACCTTGGGTCCCGTGTGTACGCACCCACGGGTACCAAAGCAGTGATCAAGTGTGCAAAAAATAAGAAGACAATTCTCCTTCACCTCGCCTGGTATACAGGAGGTCGTGGACTTGATCCCGACCCTGACGTCCGCTGTATATTTGGAGTTTGCGTGTCTCCCTCTCCCCGTAGGTGCGTGGATTTTTCTCCGGGTCCTCAGATTTTCCCCTCCACATTTAGAATCAGCACGCGTTTAGAGTAGCTGGCTGCTACACATTTCCACATGATGATAAGCCACTTCGTTGGGCTCTCATTTGTGGCCAGATCGCTTCTGAAAGAGAGTTGTGTAGCTCAGTGGGCCTTTACCTGATAAAATAAAATAAACAGTTCAGTTTCGGTTTACTGCACATCACCCTGTAGCCAGCCACTTAAAAATTTTCTGTAAACTTGGTCAATTTGGTAAACATATTAGGAATGCATCGGGATATGAGCCTCGTCCTGATGTGTCTATATGCCAGATATAGCCACGAGATGGCAGAATACGCTACGCGGCCCCGTGTGTGATTCTACAAACAAAGCCTTCGTTTGGGTGCCGCGAAGTATTAGGAACCGACCAAAGAAGGGCATTTATATTCACCATGAGTCTCTAAATGCTAAGGATTTAGATAGATATGGGAAACATCACTACGGTTTGTGTAAAGGTGTATAAAGCAAGTATATCTTACCCGACCCATCATAATCACCATTAAAACCGCCTCCAACGTCAGCCAGTCTGATCGTTCCCCGCCTCATGATCTCTAACCAAGATGTTTCCCTAAAAAATATGAAAACATGCGTATTATATTATGTATATGACCAGATAAGAGCCGATTGAGATGCACGTGTTAGGTGTGCATCAGCTATGTCCTGTCCGGCTGTAATTGACTGTTCTAATCCGATAGAACACAAAACTTTGGTGGATATAGAAATCATCGAGGCGTAGTCAAGACGAGTTCCACTGTAGCAGGTGGCTTTGTTGAGTTCATATTCTTGGTTCTTTCGGTAAAGTCACGTAGAAGATTCGTTCATGAGGCTATCCACATATACAAACACAGAGACAATTTCAACCGAGAAGATGGATTCTGGCTTAGCAATCATTGGAAGGATTTGATTAACCATTTCGGGTCTTAATTGATTGTTCACGCTTACGGTGGCTTTCAGACCGCATCCATTATTTTTCATCTCCCCCCTCCTATTTTCCGAACATAGATGGACTCGTCCATCTGAACAAACTGTCAAATCGCTCTCCGTGGTGCTAACGTTAAAAATAACCGCCACTTTTTTCAGATTTTCTTGTTGTGGTTTTCACACCTGATGATGATTGCTTGTGTTGCAGTCGAAACGTCGTGAGAATTTTATTGTTTTATATTTTTATTATTTTATTGTTTCCCTTCTACGTGACTTTACCGAAAGAACCAAGAATATGAATCCCTGCAGTCACGAAAGCTTTAAATCAAAATTTGTTGAGTTCGTTAAGTTTGTTGAGCCAGTTGGCCAGGATTGGGCATTACCTTAGCCCACCACTTTTCGCGCAGGAAACTGGCGAGCACAGCCTAACTGTTTCTAACCTAACCCACCATTAAAACTAACAATAACATAGTTAAGAATCACAGTTAAGAGACAAACACACGGTATATACTATTACAA